TTGAATGGAAAATCACTCACTCAAAGCAAGTTTGGCGCAGAGTAAAAAAAGAGAAGCGTCGTGGAGGACGATATTGCTTTGTTGGAACTCCACTTCAACTTCCCTTTCTTGCCTTCCCTACCCTTTAATCGGCATCAAAGTTAGCTAGACTTTGTTCACGTTTTTGTTACGCTCTTAAGCAAGCCTTTCCTTCCCCTCCCCGAATTGAGTTTTGTGCCCTTGCCCCACTTTCCGGTACGAAAGCTGCTTTTTTTTTGGGGGAGGGTGGGAGGTTAGGATGTGGAAGACTGGAGGGTCCGGATTGTTTTGTCCTCCAAAGTGTAGCCCACTTCAAGGGTGTCGACAATTTTGTGGTGGACTGTTCCCATCGATAAGTCAAATTAGTTATGGCTTAAACCAGATTTTAGGTTATTTTAAAGATGTGGGTGAATGGTTTTCTTCCAACCTTCCTTTTTTTCAGACTCATAGTATTGTAAACGTTCGGCGGAAATGGTTTGTCCAGCCTGCTCTCACAAGCGAATTTGTTCATTATTATCACGGTAAGTATAATGTTAACATTTTTTTCACCTTGTGTATATTTATAATAAGGGATGCATCTTATAGAGAGTCCAAGAAAATGACGAACGGCAGGGACCAGCTCTAGGTTTCCGGTTTAGGGAGGTGTCCGTCTTATAGAGAGTCAAAGAAAATGACTGAAGAAAGGTAGCGATCAACTCTAGGTGTCCTGTCTTGGGAGGTGTTCATTGTATAGAGTTAAAAAAATGATTGAAGTGTCCTGTCTACAGAGGTGTCCGTCTTTTAGAGAGACAAAGAAAATAACAGGAGAACGTTACTGGACCAACTTTAGGTGTCCGGTCAAGGGAAGTGTCTGTCATATAGAGAGTCAAAGAGTCAAGAAAATGAGAGTGTAATTGCAAGGACCACCTCTGGGTGTCCGGTCTAGGGAGGTGTCCATCTTATAGAGAAACAAGGAAAATGACTGAAGAACAGCAGGAACCAACTTTAGGTGTGCGGTTTAGGGAGGTGTCCATCTTCTAGAGAGTCAAAGAAAATGACTGAAGAATGGCAGGGACCAACTTTAGGTGTCCGGCTTAGGGAGGTGTCCATCTTCTAGAGAGTCAAAGAAAAATGAATGAAGAACTCCAGGGACCAACTTTAGGTGTCAGGTCTAGGGAGGTGTCCGTCATATAGAGAGTTTCAAAGAAAATGACTGAAGAACGGCAGGGACCAACTGTTGGTGTCTTGTTTAGGGAGGTGTCCATCTTTCAGAGGTGGCCGTTAAAGAAACGTTCACTGTATTTCTATGTCAGATCGAAGTGCTCGATTGAAAGAGATGCAGGAAAGACAGGAAGAACTTGAGTCAAACAACAAAAGGTTACAACAAGAGGAAGAGGACTTGAGAGAGAAATATCACGAGGTTTGAATTCTTACATGTAGCTCGCTACAACCTCGGACAAAAACTGTTGAATCCTATTACAAAATACCTATTTTTTGCACTCGTCCTGACCAAAAAGCTTACTGTCGCAAAATGAAAAACCGTCCCCCCCCCCCTCCCCTGTTCCAATTTTGTTTGTGGTAACACCAGAAATGCACACTTGAGCTTTTAGACCAAACAACTTTGAACAAGGATTGTTAGGGGGGGGGGGGGCGACTTTGTTCCCGTTAGAAAAGATTGTAGTATGGCGCGAAATTACGAAACACATGGAAATGTCTAATGAGCTTTGTCCGGGGTTGTAGAATGCGTGGTTAGACATTCAAAAATCAGTGACGTATCCATTGGAGGGGCCCTGGGGCTTGGCCCTCCTTATTTTTAGACGAAACTGAGGCCCGAAGCGATTGGTGGATTTTAATCTGTTTTGTGTGTTTCCGTGTTTCAAGGTTACTTGTGATCGTAATTTTGATTGACGGCAGCGGAAAACGTAATAGTGAGAGCGGCTTTTGAACATCAGAGTTCGCGTGTTTTTGAAAAGCGCTGTAAGGTTCTATCCACATAAGAGCAAACTTATACAGCAAAACAAACGTTTCATGTCGCTCCCTGGATCGATGGCATAAACTGAGCTACTGATAGGCACTTTAGAAACGAGAAGGGAACAGGAGCCGAAATGTGTCCCGCAATTGTTTCTTGGGTCGTAACTGGGCACGCGCCAGTAACAGTCCCAGACGTCTTTGCGAAAGTTTACTCGGCCCATTTTCCCTCTTGTTTTTAACGTGACGAATACGATGGTATAAACTGAGCTACTGATAAGCAGTATTAAAACGAGAAGGAACTGGAGCCGAAACATGTCCCGCAATGGTTTCTGGGATCGTTACTGGGCACGCGCCAGTAACAGTCCCAGAAGTCTTTGCGAAAGTTTACTCGACCCAGTTCCTCTTTCTTTTTTAACGTGGCGGATAACCAAACCTCTTGTCTGAGAGAACTCTTAGCACCATAGAATGTGAGGTCCTACTATCCACTAGAATTTTCTGTTTTATTTGTGTTTATCATCTCTATCAGTTGACTGAAACTATTCAGCTATTGGCAGAAGACATCCTTGAAAGGAGACAAGAAACGACACGGCTTTACCGCTGCTTCTGTAAGCTGGCGGGCAAGGTAACTAACGTCTTCTTTCGTCTTTATGAATTACAGTCAACTCTCTGTAAGAAGGACATCTTTAGGACCGGCACTAAGTGTCTGTATTAAGGTGACGTTACACGAGACGATTCGCAACGACGATTTTTAGCGCAACACAGCGTTGCAACATTGTTGCGACATTATTTCGAATGGTTACAACATTATCCCAACTTTGCAGCGCTGTATTGCGCTTATAATCGTAGTTGCGAATCGTCCCGTGTAACATCACCTTTAGAAAGATGTCTGTCCAATAGAGAGTAAAATAAACGGAGTAAGGAAAGGGAGACAAAACCTTAGCAGTCCATTTTACAGAGGTATCCGTCTTACAGAGATGTCTGTCCTATAGAGGTGTCCCTCTTACAGAGGTGTCCGTTTTACGGAGGTGTTCGTCTTATGGAGGTGTCCGTTTTACGGAGGTGTCCATTAAGAGAGATTTGACTGTATCAGTAAAGAAGATCTACACTATTTTTTTATGAAATTTCTAAACGAAAAGTTGCCCTGATACAAGAACTCCCTTCTCTGCTGAGGCCTCAGCCTGTGTGCGGTGGGAGGAGGGGGCGGGGCTCCCAGGCTACAGAGTCCTCCACTGGTATTCCAAAAATAAAATTGAAACTGAAAAGATATGGTAAGCGCACGGAGGTCGATGGGAAGAAGGAAAGGCTGAGCGGAGGCCTACTTCTTTCTCTTTTCCCTTCTCATTGGCCCCAGCTCCTAGTGGCGCAAAGAGGCCTCTGTAGAGGATATAGGCCCAAGATGAAGGTGTCACTTTTACAGCATACGTATGCACATTACTTGAGTCAAGAGTCAAGGTTCACAAATTATCCGCTCTGGAGACCGTTTTCGAAAAGCTTTCAAAAGCGCCGTGGACGCCAGGCCAAAGCGGAGGAAAAAGGTGCGTTTTTGAATTTATGCGGGGTAAGTGTGCACAGGGTCTTGGCGAAAACTGTTCGTGCGTAGGGGAAAACCGTCCTACTGCTTGCTTCTTTCTTAAGTTTTTTTAAGACTCGAGCAACTAAATTTCATTAGTTAGTTAGTTTTCTTTTTTTTTGAAGGCTTTCATAACTTAGTTTCCTGTCCTATTACACAACGTATCAATGAAAACGTCTCCTGTACGGCTCGCAAAAGTGCCTTTGTTCATCAATGAAAAGGCTTTTTTTGTTTTTTGTTTTTTTTCTTTTCAGGAGTTAACTCAGCCGTCCGTATTGGAATGCAAAAAAACGAAGACGGCAGCTTCACAAACAAGGATGAAGCCTTTAAAACTCCACATGTAAGTGACGCTATATTGGATTTGATTGCTTGTAGGTCACGAAAAGTCGGCGTGACTCCTTTGCTGTGATATACAGTAAAAACCCGCGACTAAGAACTTTTTAGGCTAAAATTTGAAACTACTTCTTATTTTCTAAAATCTTTAAATCAAATTCTGTACACCAGGGCAAATAAGATACCGGTAAGTCAACACAGTTCAGAATACTTTTTGGAGATGTAGGTGCCTTATCACTCCAACTGCAATACTAATTTAGTATGCAAATTTTGTATAGCAATAAGCTGGAGACCTTTAAATACTCTTGGCTACAATATAATTTGTTCTTAAGAAAATAAGAAACTAAATATTTACGAACCTAAATAGCCTAAATTTGTGCTTATTACCATTTATGTAATCATGCAGGTCCTTAGTCGTGGGTTTTTACTGTAGCCCGACTTTTTAATGTAGCATTTCTCAATGTCCTTCGTAGTTATAGAAACTGACGCCCTAAGGCCTTATAACCGTTTAAGACTTCGCACTCAGTTTTCACTTTGCGCAAAATTTTCGAGATTCGCGCTAGGCTTTTAAAAAAATATACCCGACTCTAATCTTTAAGTTAACACTTGTTCCCTGCATTCACTGTATTTGTGGTCGACTCTAGAAGTTACTATATGCTTCTGATTGGCCTGTATTTCCGACCCTGCCCCCCTCCCCTCGCCCAGAACCCTTCTCTATTGCGCATGACAACGGGGAGTCAAGAGCGTGAGCTCTAAATTCGAGATTGATTAGCTGGAAAATGGGTCATTTCCACGATGGCGTCATTTTACTACTTCTACCAGAATCCTTCAGGGTTTTGCTTTTTTTGTGCAAATTAAGGGTTTTTGTTATTTAAAATACAGTGGACTCCCGATAACACGAACCCGTCGTTAACTCGAACCAAAATCGATTTCCCTTGGATTTCTTTCATACATATACAATAATTTTACCCTCGGTAACTCGAACCTCCCGCTCACTCGAAGTTATTTTTGCTTCCCTTCAGATGACCTCTACATAATGTTACCCTCGATCTTAAGCGCCTGACAAGTCGATCAAAAGGAAAAAAAGTGTGTTCTGCAGTCCGAAATACTGAATTTAATATTTCAAAACAACTGTGTATTCTTTGTCTTCACTTTTTGGTCAGTTCAATTCGACTACAGTGTATAGCAGCCCTGTATATTTTAATTGAAGTTCTGTTTTCTTAATTCCAAGTGTGCATGATACTTGTATTCTTTCCCCATGCCATTTTCTTATTTTCTCATTTTCGGTTACTTGCTTCGAACTCCCGATAAACTCCACCCTTTTTAGATTTCCCTTGAAGTTTCGAGTTATCGGGAGTTGACTGTGTCGACTGTCTTAGTAGTAATAACACGTCATCGTACAAAAAGCGTTTTCAGTTGGCTCGAGTAAATGATCTGTTTAAACAGGAAGAGGAAGTTTTAACCTGAATGTTTTGTCACGTGTTTCCCCGGCAGGTGCAACACGTGCAAAACAACCGAGAATCAACATCAACTGGTGCAGTGTGACACGTGCCACTACCACTATCACCTGGCATGCGTTGATCCACCTCTAACGCGCATGCCCAAGCGATCGGCCAAGTGTCTTTGGTGAGTAAAGAATTGTCTCCCATCTTTAATTTTTTTTTTTGGACAGATGAAGATCGGGGAGAGTAGAAATAGCAATCCATGGGTTGTCGCTAGGGCGAAATAAGGAAAAAAGGGGAGAGGGAGAGGAGGAAAAAAGTATCATCTCTCTTTCTCTTAGCCTCGCCCCAGTTCTCCTCTTTTTTTGCAATTCAACATCTTCTTGACGTTGGTTGGTAGCATAGAGGCCTTCATTAACGCGCGGATAATTAAAAGATATGCTAGAGTCGCCACGAGAGAAAATACAAAGTTTAATACACAGAAAGCCAAGAAGAAACTTCTTCTGAGGCGAACAATGAGAGAATTGGTAACAAAAAATCCAGGACTCGCGTGCAGTACTGTTCAGCCATGGTTTAACTTGCTAGATTATTTACATGAAGTTTTTCTTTTCAATGAAATATCCATATTGATTACACCTCCGTTTATATTATACCTTTCAAATAAGCCATCTGCTGTGACACGTCATATAGCCGGTTCTTTAACTAAAGCCTTAGACTCAATGTTTTATAGGTAGAGTGCAAACAGAAATTCAGTCTGATCGTTGATATAAATTTTAAATGTTGAAATACTGAGCAACATTGTAGAAAACAAGGCCAATTCAGAAAATAAGGGGAAAGTTTTGCGACATAAGTATTGAAAACAAAACAATTAAACACCGCAATATATAGTCCGTTTTCATCAAGTTCCAATTACCTCTCTGTCCTTAATTGACATGTGGGATGCTCCCTGCTAAGTAGAACTTCTTCTTTAATTGACAACGCTCGGTGTAAGCTTGAAAGGGCGAGTTATTTTCTCTTTAATAATTCATCCGACCAGCAAATGATGTACACATAAAATAATGATGGATTTTATTTAATTCTATACTTTTATTTAAACTTATAAGGAATCTGACGTAAGTTTTCAGTCAGCATCTTTTTGGTAGTTCAAGGTGTCGTCGACGAGGCGAGTCGAAAAGGTTTCTGAAAAAGGACCGAAACCTAATTTTTCAGGCTCTTCTCGTCCTCCTTCTTCTTTCTTTGAGATAAGCCTCAATTGGGGACTCACGACAATGTAATCTGAAACTCGTGTCCAATGCCAACGAGTATTTGTGTTCTTCTCTAAAGAGCCTTAACATGGCAACTTTCGCTTTAGGCTTACGCCGTAGGACGCGTTTATCTCGTACCCAGATTTTCCACGGTCAAGCGAAAGAGAGACTTTGTATTTTAAATCGAGACATACGTACAGTTGTAAGCAACTTTTCTGTCTGGCGATTGCTCAGATGGAAATCGTTTCCATCTTAAAAATTCGCCATTTTTTCACATTTTTACTTGTTCTTTGGTAGTAATCGTACATATACAGTTTTTTAAGTAAGTGCCCTAAAGGTTTCTTGTTGTTTCACAATTCAGAGAGAGCACTATTGTATTGTAACATGAACGTTCGTCACGTTCTTGTGTCTCCGAAATCAGTTAGTGGAATTTGACATGCTTTTTCTTGGCGAAGGTCTAAGACCATTTTGTGCAAGAACTAATCTTCTTGGTCACATATAAACCCTTTAATTCTTAACTCTTGAATTCTCATTTGTTGTCCCTACAGGTTTGCTATAATAGTAATTGGGAGAAGTTGTTAAAGAATCTGTGTGATCATGTCCCTAATTCTCATAACAACCCTGTTTTATAAAGGAGAGATATTATTAGGAGAAATTTGCTGCTGATCACACTTAGGGCTTAAAGGGTTAAGCACAGTCAGGGCATCACGTGACAAAATCCTCATATTAAAAACTGCAAGGGGTGACAGGCCGCACATCTTCACCGGCGTGAAACCTGTGAAAACCTTTTACATATTCCTTCAATGAAGACAATAACAACAACAATCTTTATTTGGTCTCACTCTTGCTAAACACTTAATTACGACAATGAAAATATTGGAAGTAAAATTCGAGTACTGGGTGCCTGGAATAACTATAGGGGCTAGCGGGGCCAGAGAGAACTCTTTCAGGGATTTTACACCTTAAAAGTTCTACGATAGGTGGGCTGTTATGCCTGTTAAGTTGATACAGCTTCTATAAAGCCGACCAAAGAAAGGCTCAGTGCATTCTATATGCAGCAGAGGAAAAATGCAACAGACAATTTAATCAGTTTGTCTGCTTTCTGTTCAATTTTATGTCCGTTTTATAAGATATGTCTGCTTAAAATCGCGTGAAAGTAATTATGATCATTTTCCATAGCTGCTGTTATTTTAAGTATCCGCTTTTAATATCTCCTTACAGTTGAGGTTTACGCCACCTCAGAGCACGATGTTTAGCTGTGCACAGCATACATTCTTTAAATATGTCCAGATTAGACTCTGGGTATTTATCGCACCTCTGGTGGAAGCATTATTTAAATACGTTATAATGCTGTGTCCTTTGAATGTCGTTTTTTCACTCAATCTCTTTGTGAATGTGACTGTAGTTTATTAGTTTTAAAAGCTCGATATTTAAAATACCATAGCATTTACTTTGTTTACCGATCAACTGACTGGCTTCTTTGTGCTACTAGCAAAACCGTGGTTTGGAATCTTACGATTCGCATCAGTTGGTATGTAGTTGGATGGTTGAGGTGAACTCTGAACCATTCCGTACTGTTAGCTGTGATTTGGTAGGCGTTTATACATGCACCCTGGATCGTTTGGAGGATCGAAAATGGTGCGGTTTGATTGGCCCCTTGACAGCCAATCAGGTTGCTGTAGTTTCGATCCGTCTTTCCTGAACGCTTTAGACACTAGGTTGCGTTTTTATTAAGGATAAAATTTGGAAAAAATAAGAGTCGTGCCTTCCTTTTATTTAAAGTATATAAACATATCGTTTAAATGTATATCATGTATGATTGTTCCTCGAAGTGGCAAGGGATAATGAGTGAGTAACTGTAACGGATGTCGGCGTGGAACCGTTGAGAATGTTGAGAAGTTTATTAGCCAGGTCTCGTTTCACAATTTATCAACATCAGTTCCAGTTTCTAACAAAATAGTCTGTTTCGTTTTACATTTCTCATTTTTTTTGCACCAAAATAAGTCCATTGGTTTCCTTACCATATTTCGTTTTGCAGACCTCACAAAATACACTGGAAAGACTTTCAGTTCAAACTACCCGAAGCTTTAAATCGTGTCTCATGTTACGTTCTCGTTCATGTGAAATAATTTCTTCACTGTGCTTTTTACACTTTGGCGAATTTCTCGGTACCGCCAGCAATAAACAAGAGGATTTAATGATGAATTGAGGAAAATCAGGAATATCGATGCGAAATGAGCTACGAAAAACGAAATCCCATTTGTCATATACAGTATTGTTGAAGGCACAAAAGGAAGATAACAAGCTAGAAAAACAAGATAGACAAATATAGCATTATAGGCGGACTTCTTTTGTCGGAGTACCTGCCTTGTTTGGGCATTTTGAAGCTGATTTTGGCTGTATATCTGATTCTGATGATATTTGACGACTTTGTAAATACGAACATATGCTACGGTGGTCAAAACATACCCTGTCATTAAAATAACTGCGGTTACTATTTCATTGCTTGTCGGAAGGAAAACGAATATGACGGCGGTGATACAACTTATGAACCACAAAGACACCAATGCTATATTAACACGCTTGGGTGTAATAAGCTCCTGATATCGCAGATGGAGCGAAACAGCGAGAAGTCTATCAAATGCGATGACAATAACATTCAGAAAAGATGCAGTGGCAAGAAGATGCGCAAAGTAAAGTTGCACACCCAAAACTGTTGGACAAAAGAAGGCTGTGTTGTTTCCACTTGATGCCATCTTCAATATCGAGGCGATGATAATAGCGATCATAAGCTGCGAACACAGTCCAACTGCAAGATCAGAGAAAGCCAGACTTAGGAACAGCTTTTTCACAGTAGCTGGTATCGTTGAGGCTTTCATTAAGGCGCGAATTACTAAAAGATTTTCAAGAATCGCGACGACAGAAAATACAAAGTTTAAAACACAAAAAGCAAGGAGGGAAGATCTTCTGTGATGAACAAGATGAACCAAGGAATCAAACATCCGAGGGCAGTACTGTTCAGCCATGGTTTAACTTTTCAAATTATATAGATTAATTTTTCCTTTTGGTAAAATATCTACATTAATTACCCCCTCCGTTAATTAGCTACCTTCCATAACAGCCATCTGCCGTGACACGTTATATAGACGGTTCATTAACTAAAGCTTTAGACTCAATGTTTATAGTTAGAGCGCATACCGAAATTCCTATTGTTGGTACAAAATTGTAAGGTTTTAAACACCGAATCGAATTGTAAACAAGGCCAACTCAGAAAACAAGGGAAAGGTTTTACGACATTAGTATTGAAAACAAAAAATTAAACACCGTAATATATAGTCCTTTGCCATTAAGTTCCAATTACCTCTCTGGCCATATTTGAGACGTGAGCTACTCCCTGCTAAGAGGAAACAGTTTCTTAATTGGAAAACGATTAGAATAAAAATAGAATGTTAAATCATTGTAAAACGTTGAAAGAGCGAGTATTTTCTGTTTATTGATCCGACCAGCAAATGATTTACACATATGAAATAATGGTGGATTTTTGTATTAAGCAATTTTTCACTTTGAAAAAATTAGCACTTGTTCCTTAGTTCAAGGTGTCGTGAGCAAGGCGTTTGAGTCTTCAAAGCTGGTGATGTTTTTAAAAAAAGGACTGGAAACTAATTAGCCTCAACTGGGGACTCACAACGGTGTTATGTAGTCTGAATGGACTAGCGCACAACGATCCCAATAACCTTACTCGTTTGTAAGCTCTTCCCCACCAAATGCACAAAAATTAGGATTCCAGTGTATAAATATGGAACTGAAAGTGACACGTTCGTCACGTTCTTGTGTCTCTGACATAAGTTAGCGGAATTTAAAATGCTTTTTCTTGGCGAAGATCTGAGACCATTTAGTGCAAGAACTAATCTACTTGGTCACATAATAGTCCCTTAAATTGTAATATTAAAATTCAAATTCTCATTTGTTGTTCCCATACTTTTCCTCATGATAATAGTAGTTGAGAGAAGCTGTCAAAGAATCTGTGTGATTATGTCCCTAATTCTCATAGCAACCTTGTTTTCTACAGCAGGAATATTACTAGGAGAAATTTGATGCTGATCACTCTTAGTGCCTAAAGGGTTAAACACAGTTAGGCCATCACATGACAAAATCCTCATAGTATAAACTGTAAGGGGTGACAGGCCTCACATCTTCACCAACGTGAGACCTTTGAAAACCTTTTACATATTGCTGGAATGAGGACAACAACACGCTAAAAAGACTACTGCCGGGAGCCAAATAAACTATTGTAGGCGGACTTCCTTTGTCGGTGTGCCTCTCTTGTTTGGGCATTATGAAAGGAGGGAAAATACAAAGTTTAAAACCTAGATACCAAGGAAGAAACTTCTCCTTTGGGAAACTAGTTTAATCCAATAATCCAGAAATCGATTGCAGTTCTTTTCAGCCATAGTTTGACTTGTCACATTACATACATGTATCTGTCTTGGATAAAACTGATATCTACATTAATTACCCCCTCGGTTTATTTGCTACTTTTCAGATCGGCCATCTGCTGTAGCGCGTAATAAAGCCTGTTCATTAACTAAATCCTTAGACTTAATGTTATAGGTAGGGTGCAAACAGAAATTTAATGTCATTTTTGGTATAAATTTCAAGGGTTGAAACAACGAATTAAATTGTATAAAACAAGGCGAACCCAGAAAACAATGGAAGGGGAAGGTTTTGCAACACTAGTATTAAAAACAAAACAATTATTACACACCGCAATGTATAGTCCTTCCATCAAATTCCAATTACCTCTCTGTCCATAATTGACATGTGAGCTGTTGCCTGCTGAGAAGAACCGTTTGTTTAATTGCAAATGCTCGGTATAGGAAATAGAACTTTAATTTATTCTAAAACGTTGAAAGGGCGAGTTTTTCCTCTAAATTTATTCGTCCAACGAAATTTTTGAAACATAGTAAAATACAGATGGATTTTGTTTAGTTCTATTCTTTTATTTAAACTTTTGACACAAGGTTTCAGTTTTGAAAAGTTTAGCGCCCATTTCGCAGTTGACTGTGATGCCCGGTCAGCGAGTGTTTTTAGTCTTCCAAGCAGGCTAGGTTTTTATAAATGGACTAGAGCCTAACATTTTTATTTGGATTGTTTTCGTCTTCCTTTGTCTTTTTTTGACCTTTCTCTCAAATGTAGACTCGCGACGGTTTTTCTGATAGGAATAGCGCACAGCGAACCCAAATGACCTTGCTTATTTGTAAACTCTTTTCGAATGCCAACGAGCATATGTGTTCGTCTCTAAAGAATGGTAAGATTGCAACTTTCGCTGTAGGCGTACGTCGTAGGACTCGTCTTATCTCGTACCCAGATTTCCCACGGCCAAGCGGAAGAGAGACTTCCTATTTTAAATGGAGACATGCATACAGTTGTAAGCAACTACTTTTGCTGGCGATTATTCGGATGGAAATCGATTACAGCTTGAACAATGGCCATTTTGTCACATCGTTACTTATTCTTTGGCAGTTATCGGTACAGTCATTGTTGTAAGGATATTTCTTGAAAACGATAAGGTTCTTGCACCGCAGCTAACATTGTACATTAAAAGGGAAAATGCTTTTAAGTTTCTCTCTGTAAGAAGTGTTTTGACGATGAAAAACAGAGCTAAGTTTCATTACTTAAATGCTCTAAAGGCGTCTTCCTGTCTCGCAATTCACAGAGACCAGATCTAATTTCGCAGAGACCAATCTTAGGTAGGTATTATAAGAAATCGCCTTTCAACCCAATGTTTAAAATGCTGAATTGAAATTTACATTATATGTTTTCTTGGTCTTTTTGAGCTGCAAGTCTATTGGTTTTCTTGCTAAATTCTATTTCGTAGAAGTTGTAGAAGGAATTAAGATCAAAGGTGTCTTTTTGTTTCTCTTTCCAGCGAGACCAATTCCG